TCAATTTCACAAAAAGGAAACTCTAGGCTAGCAGGCACCATGTAATCAGGCAATTCTATCATGCAATTCCTGAAGATCCCTAACCTAGTACTAGCATGCTGTTCTAACATATCACATAATCAAATAACTTGTATGGTATTTTGGGGTCTACTTACTGGCTCTGGCTGATCGTACCCTCTGCGTCCTCCTTTACTTATTTGGAAAAAAACCTTTTGAAAACCATTTTGAAAATCCCTCCTTGATTTGAGACTGGATTCACACGAATGTTCCTCCAATTCACTCAAACCAAGGCTCTGATACCAACTTGTAACACCCATAAAATTTGAGCCAAATTAAAACATTTTAATTCATTCAAAAACCATTAAGTTCATACATCGCGTTTTCAAAATAGTTTAAACATCAGAGTATCCCCCAGAACCATATCACATAAATCATAAAACATGAGGAGCGGTACGATCACGCCTTCGCCTTGCCACGATCTCCTGAGGTACCTGAAACAATACATTGAACTGTAAGCCCGAAAGCTTAGTGAGTTACCCCCAAAATACCAACCACGCATAAACATACTCATAACATATCACAAATAGAACAGACACGCACATCGGGTCTACTGTGTGACTGGTCCGCCTGCACCGGGCCTTCAGTCAACCTGGTCCACCCTCCGAGTCTAGCTATGTACATCGAGTCTACAGTGTGATTGGTCCGCCCGCACCGGGCCTTCAATCCACCTTGTCCACTCTCTTAGTCTACAATATGACTGGTCCGCCCACACCGGGCCTTCTGTCAGCCTGGTCCACTCTCCGAGCCTCGGCACGTCTGGTTCGCCCTCTTGGGGCCTTCAGCCTATCCAGATCGCTCAATGGGCCTTCGGAATATCCGGTCTGCCCTTGGTATGTTGGCCTACAGCACAAAGCAGGACCCGCCTCATCCCAACCCCCGTCAAACAACCATGTGCACATAAACAATTAATCGCGTAACAAATCCTTAACTAGACAACAGTCTAACAGATCACATAGCATATCAACATCCTAACCAGGATTCCGACCTAACTGGTCACTAGCATAACATTAACACTATATACCGGGTACCAGCCTTAACCAGGTCACTAACGTAACATTACCCTAATTACCAGGTACCGACCTTAACCAGGTCACTAACATAACACCATCCCAAATACCAGGATACAGATCTAGCAAAGTAATAACATAACAACAATACCCGGATTTCCATCCGATAAAGGGTCGGCCTTGGTGCTGTCGACCCTGTCGATATAGTGAGGATAACTCACCTGAAATGAAGAACCGAACCATGGAAGCACACACCCAAAGCACTGCTCCAAACTCCAATACCTATTGCCATCAATGGACCATTGACATAAATAACCAATTACCATAACACCCTTGAAGGTCAAAGTCAAAGTCCAGGCCAAAGTCAACTTCCTGATTGACCCTACTCGCCGAGTCAACGCGTTGACTCGTCGAGTCCTCATGCTCTGAAAACTCTTAGTACACGACTCAACTAGCCGAGTCACCCCAAGACTCATCGAGTCCAACGATCTCCGAGTCCCATCCTGTCCAACTCACTGAGTCACCCCTCGACTCATTGATCTGCGTCTTAACCAGAAGAGGTTGGTGTTCTGCAACCAGACTTGCCGAGTCCATGAACAGACTCGCAGAATCGAAGGCAAACTTCAACAGACTCGCCAAGTTGTTCTTCCAACTCGTCGAGTCCATGCACATGTTCTTACAACTCGTCAAGTACACCCATGTGACTCGCCGAGTCTCTCCAGTTCTCAATCTATACAGTGGACTTTCGAGCCATGCAGGGGCTCAAATCCATAGATCCACTCTTCTACATCCTAACCCTCACATAAAGTTGCAAACTTTACATGAAACCAAGGAGATATAAGCCCAAAACACTCTAGGGCTAGGGTTAAGGACTAGGGGGCTTCACCAACAACTCTTAGACAGGAGCTTTATGACATTCTAGGCGATCACAAGTCTAGATATGAAGTAGTAACCTCAGATCTAAGCCTCTAACTCGAAATAGCTCACAATCAAGCTAAGGAACTCCAAATCAACCACCAAGGATGAACCAAAAAGGAAATAGCTTAAGATAATGGCTCCTTACCTCTGAGATATGCCTAAACTGATGTAGATTCCAGATCTACTCAAGCCCCTTGATGCTAGCCTCTAATTTCTCAAGCTCCTTCCACCAAATTCCTCTTCCAATATCCAATCTCCTCAACAATGGGGTCTCACACGAAAATTAGGGTTTCTGGATCTCAAAAGGGTAGCAAAGAGGCTGAGGGTGGGTTATAATGTGCTTTATATAGGGCACAACCCCCGGGATTAGGGTTTTCTCTCTACAGCACCAACTCGTCGAGTCCAAGTCATCGACTCGGCGAGTTGGCCACTTAACCCACGACAGATTCCCACTCCGACTCGGCGAGTAAGCATGCCTACTCATCGAGTCCCTTTCCTTAGTTTACACTTTAAGTCCTTCAATAGTACCTCTGGAATTTGGGGTGTTACAACTCTCCTCCACTTAAATTAGGCTTCGTCCTCGAAGCCTACTGCAGCATACGCCTCAGAACAAACCCCTTGCACTGCAGTCTCCGACTTCTCAATCAACTCATGCTCTTACTAACCCTACTTCTGCATCTCCTTTAAAATGGCTTATTCTCACATGGAATCCTTGCCACTAATCCAAGCCGATCATCGGCCTTTCAACTCAATAGCACCACGAATCACCCGATAATACTAACCCTTCTTATCAGGAACACACCTTCGCGCCCTGCGAACGCTAGATACCACAAACAACCACTGAGCTCTGCGAAGACACTAATCCATCTTCCTTTGCCCAAAATTGGTGATAACCCTGATAACATGCAACCTGGAACGAATCCTGTTCCGCCCTCTGGTTCTATCCCTTACGCGCTGATAGGATACTGCATCCCTCAGCTCCCATAACCCATCAACCAAACATATCTCATAACCGCTCGTACCTGGCCCAATCAGCCTTGGGTTGAAATACCAAACACACCAGGTCGAATCAATCATAGGGTCTAGTCATCTTCATGATGGAATACCCCAGATTAAAATACTTTCACATACATAACTCAAGCCTACAACCATACTAATAACTAAGGTCCTTGTCCTTGCATCTCCCTCGAACCCTTCGGTTCGACACAACAGAGTGCAACCCACTCACACCTCCCTATCACAATCTTTAGGTCCTTGACCCCCGATTGTAATATCCTTATACAGTCCTCAGCACCGGTCCAGACTACTCCCGAGTCTGTTAACATGTTGTCTCACCTTCCTCTATCCCACTCTCCAATCTGGAACCACTATCTTCCTCCTCTTCCAAGGAGACTGAATACATGCATGCGCATCATCCAATATTGCCGCAACGTCAACGGGCATCCAACCCTTATGTGCTTCCATATATCTGGTACAATCCCATTGCTTACCACCAATAACCGAAGCACTTTCGATCATCCTTTTACTCTGCTGCCTTCCTCTCATAGGACCCATACTCCTTCCGGAGCTACATACCTTTCCTTTCCAAGAAGTCTACTCAACAACCCTTACCGCACCTATAAGTGCCACTGAGCTAAACTCCACTCTACACTATCCATGTAGAGCAACTGTTATCCTCGAACTCCCATATACTCCGAATCCGATCATATAACTAACTAGGCCCACGCACGGCCTCCAGCCAACTCCATCATCATGATCAATACTTGGGGCTAGACCATATCGATTACTATTGCATGGCGACACAGTCACTCATTCTCCGCATACATATCTACTAACACATACAGAGTCTTCAACATGACTGGACCGCCTTACCAGGCCTTCAGCCTAGCTAGACCACTCTCAGAACCTTCAGCATGTCTAGACTGCCCTCCTGGGCCTTCAACCTGTCTGGACCGTTCCCCGAGCCTTCGGCCTGACCGGTACGCCTTCCGGCCTTCAGTCTATCCGGACTGCTCAAAACTATCATACGTTACCCTGAACCATCCTTCCCGGGAATCTCTCCCATGCAGTCTGTTCTAGCCCTCTTGGGGTTCCGAACTCCAGTTCCGTTCTCGGAATCCTTTCCATGGCTTAAACCCATGCCTCACATCAACCAACTACATTACCTGAAACCATGGTCTGTTGCCTGCCCCACTTGTCTACCACTTGCTCCAATCATGCCACACTCTCGGATAACAACACTGATAAATCTAAGCAGCTAACCACCCTGGATACTTGCTGTTTTACTGAAGAATTTCTAATTCTCCCCACTTACTGTACCAACTAATAACTTCCGCTGACAAACCGGCATGACTCGATCGACCTTACTTGATAAAGTTCCCCCTCTTCCCCCGGAACTAAATCCCTCCAGAGTGAGCAACCTCCATAGGTCACTCTCCCGACATCACACATCCCAAACTCCAAGGAAGTTCGAATCTCAACTGAACACTTCTCGCAACGCAGTTGCTATTCCTAGCAACGAGATCGTATATCCAATTTTTCGATCACCTATCCTCTTGGATGCTAACCGACTACAACCCCTAACTACTAAGATCCTCAAGTGTCCAACCTGATGGAAATGATAACAAATCCTCATATCCTACACCGAGGCCGACTGACGGCAATCCCTCGCATAATGCCCCTCTCCCCCACACTTGCGATACGTACCACCGGATCGGAAAACTCCGGCATGACCCTTCCCACACTTCTCACTAGTGTGGCTGCTCTGACCTCCAACCCTATAGTCAACGGTTTTGGACCGTTTCGGCGCCAGCTGTGACTGCACCGGGGCCTACCTCTACTTCCCGTAACTCCAACTCCATCTCTAACTTCGGCCGCCTGGCGGCCTCCTGCAGCTCTAATAAGGTATCACACCTCTGCGTGGACACAAACTGCCTGATGTCCCTCTTGAGCACACTCAGATATCAGGACATCTGAGCCTGCTCCGAAGCAAACTCCGGGCAAAACATCGCTCTCTCAGTGAACCTTCTGGTACGTATATGCAATTCTTGAATTCAGTTGTACTGCACGTTGAAAGTTCTTGAGAGCAGTTTCGTGGTCTTTTTGCATACTAAAGCAATTTCCCATTGCACACCTGTCACATTTATATTTAAAAAATAAATAAAATATAAAAAATATGTCCTTATAGAAGACATAAGTCAACCACTTATATATTTAAAAATGGTTACCGTGATTTAGGGCTAATCGATCCGTTGATATTAGCTCTTGTGCCAAATAACTCAACCTCATATCCTCCTTTAGGTGCTACAACATACGAGACCAAAGCTTATGTAAAATTACCATTTTGCCCTCTAGAGGTTTAGTTATAGTGTTATAATACCAATGAGACTTACATATAAAAGAGTAGAATAAATATCCATTCCTTCTAAGCTATAAGTACAACAAAAACACACCTTCCTTTCAACTATCTCCTGTCAACCTCCTCCTGAACCTCTCCAGCTGTAGACAGACACCAGATACAACAATTATAAACCCTCTCTCTCTCTTAATAAAAATAAAACATGAAATGATGTTCTTACCTGGAGATGTACTCCCAGGTTCGCTTGAGCATCGATCAGCTTCAATGTTGAACTCCTTTCATTTCATATATACGATAAACTTGTTAGGATTCAATAATAACTTCTGATCTGAAGGAATAATATGTCTGAATGCATACATACCCTTTCAACATGACAGATCTGGAAAGATGCAAACTTATCTTTCAACTCCTTTGCTACTTTGCATAAGCTTGTCATGTTCTGGGTTTTCGTTTTCCACAAACCATTCACCTGTTTTTTTTTTCATAACACTTACCACATTAACAACATAAACACCACTATAAACCTTTAAAATGTTTCAACACCAAAACTTATGTTTATGTTTATTCACCTCCTATTTTATACTTACTTTCTAATTACTTCCTTATAAGTAGCTTATTAAATTAATATTAATATAAATGAAATGTTTATACTCAATACTTGAATGTTTAAGAATATGTGATTTTCCTTCAAATGTGAAGTCATTATCTTGGTAGGAAGTAGATATTGTAGAGTCGATATTTAGAAAAAAGTAGAATCTAAGGTTTCTATTTCAAATACAAACACAATAAAGAGTTACAAAAAGGCCTCCATAAAGTGTCATGTGAAGGAAATGTGGATTTTGATCTTAAAGGCAACATCTTTAATCATTAGCCACAAAAGGAATGTCATGTTCCATTTACTATTTTATTTTTGAAGTTTTTAGCATGGCATATATTACAATTCTATCCATTTCTAATCTATCATATCAATTTGCAGTGGTGTAACTTTTACTGGAAACAAAAATAAAAAAGGAAAAAAAAATATACCTGCATACAAACAAGTTTTGAGTCTCCTTGCACACGGATATGCCTAAAACCTTTCTCATGCTAGTAAACAAAGCACTGCCTAAATTACTCATATAAGTTGCATAATCCCATTGAATATATTTACCACTTTTATCAAGAAATAGTTCAGCAAGCCCTAAAAACTAAAAGATGGCAAGTGATTTGTTGACTATTTTGTATGATGGAATCAGAAAAAGGAATGGAATGGTTCATTCCATTCCTTTCCATCCAATCAAACAAACCATTTAATAGTTTAAAATCATTATGATTTGTTGACTGTTTTTAATAATTGGGATTGCCCTTTTCTTATTATTTGTGCAGGAACTTGTGGAGATGATTTTCCAATCTGCAATGTAGGTTTTAGAATTTCCAACAACTAGAAATTCGTTGGTTTTTACTTTTTAGGTTAGACGTCAATAAGGCAAAAGAAATCCAAGGTTTCTATACAATGCGTCTTTACTCTCTAGTGTGAAAAATTAAGTAAATTAAAGTTTATATGTGAAAAGCGGATTAGGATATCATAACAAATTCATGGGAAGGGAAGGTTAGTCAAATAGCACAAATCATGGCATACAGTTGTATATATGAGAAGGTGATTCAACTTGATTAAATGTGATTTTAAAACTCAGCTAAACCTAGAAAAAGAAGTTGATAGTCACTCGATCGATTGACTTATCTAATCATGCGAGTATGGAGTACCTGTTTGACTTCGAGTGGAGAACAGATGTGCGTCAATGGGAGGGTGTGGAGGACGATGGACCGACGACGATGGACCGCCGACCTAGAAAACGAAGTTGAGTCACTCAATCGATTGACTAATCTAATCATGCGAGTATGGAGTACCTGTTTGACTTCAAGTGGAGAATAGAGTTGCGCCAATGGGAGGGTGTGGAGCGGCGATGGACCGGCGGCGATTGACCGGCGACGATGGGTCGGCAGGATGCTGTCAATTTTGGTGTATCGATTTAGGGCAAAAGAGAGCGTATTGAGTCGATTTTGGGCATAGTACTGTAGTCAAAATTAGTCAACCTTGTTTATCTCCTTACTAAACCAATTAATCGTGTTTACAAAAAATTATATGTATAATTAATTTGGTCAAAATTAGTCAGTCAAAATTAATCAAGTCTTCTTATTTAGTCAAGAAATAAATACTACTATGATTTTTTCTAATGTGTTTCTCTTTCTATTTTTTCAACTTTGTTCAAATATTTTTATAATAAACATGTTTGATAAATACCAGTCAATAACGTAATGAGTCTTAACAAAATTATGTATAAAAAAAGTTGTAGTTATTTTCAAAAATAAAATATATTAATTAAAAATATTTTAGTTTTTATTAATTGAAAACTATAATATATATAATCAGTGACCATTGCTTTATGGTCACTAAATGTTATTTTCTTGTAATTCATCAGTGACCACTATTGAGTGGTCACTAATTGTTTTTCCTCATTTAAAGAGTACTTAAAGAATAGGTACGTGGTATTGAACAAAAGTAATCAGTGACCATTATTTTTGGTCACTAAACCTTCAATACAGTGACCATTTTTTTCGTCACTAAACTTCTAACATATTGACCATTAGTCTTAGCCACTATATAATTAACATAGCGACCATTATTTTTAGTCACTAAATAGTTGTTATGATATAGAATAGAAGCAGTTTAATTTTTTTGCATTATAGTGACTGAGTTAATGACCACCACATATAATTCGTCATTAAATTTGTAAGAATACCAAAATTCAGTGACCACTTAATTTCTAGTGACTAAAAGATGCTTTTAGTGACCAAATTTTAAATCGTAACTAAAAATTAGTCACTAATAAGGACTTTTCTTGTAGAGTCCTAACCGCACTCTTCTCAAGAAAAAGTTTATCGTGTGTGTGTAGTGTGTTGGATTTCATGTTTCAAGACTTAGTTTGTCATGCTTGTCAAAACCTTATTCATATGCTGCTTCTAAAGAATCATTAATTACAATGTAAAGAGATATACAGTACATCAAATCCCATCATTAATGGATAAGAGCAAGAGTTACTTTGCATCAAACAAGAGAAATAATATGCATCATCTTTCATACAACAACTTTCAATTCTGAATCTTTTGCTGAGGTTTGATCCCAGCATGAAGCACTAAACCATCATGAGGTTGAAGGACGATGTTTAGCTTTTCCATCGTACCCTTGTTCAAATCAAAACTATATAAGTCATTATTATACCTAGAAGACTTGAAGATGACAAATCTGTTTCCTACAACCCCACAGATAGGGTATAGACTAGCAGCTGTGTATCCTTTATCAAGGTACCACCTTGGAATTGTAATCGATTGAAACTTTTGCCATATCATCTTGTCAAAGTCTGTCAGCCTCCAAATGTCAGTTTTTGCAGCTTTTGCCCATGAAACTCGAGTTATAAGGCAAAGGAAACCCCCCATCTCAAAAAGTGTATAATGGTTGCCAGCTGTGCCATGATGGGATTGAGGTACACTCATTAACACTGTTTTCTCTTTCACCGTGTCCATGGACACCATGTAGTCAGAAGAAAGTTCCCAATGTAAGTACCTTGCTTGGACACAAACCGGCTCTCCCTTATAGTCCTGCCAAATCTCCATTTTAGGAGGGAGCTCCATCCTTTTCCAATATGAGGAAGAAAGGCCAGAGACAACATCTTTGCCCAAGACAAGTACATGGCATTGTATTGGTGGGCCCATATACACGTGCAAGACTTTGTATATTCCCTTGATTGCATCAAAGGTTAGTACCACTGCACATTTGTTTTCAGAGTGCCCTCTACAAGGTGCATGACACGGTGGAAGTATGGATCCTACCTTGTTGACTATATTGAAAGCGATGATAGATTTTTCTCCATAGGGACCAACTATCAGAATAAACTCATCACACCAAGACTTTATAGGGCCTATGGAGTGCATGTCAAGACTATGCTCTTTCACTTCTATACCTTCTCCTTCTACCCTTATTTCAACATGGCGTGATGGATAACATCCTATTGGCCTTTGGATGATGAAAGAAGCATGATCTAGCAATATGTTGTTGGTAATTATATCAAACCATTGTGTGCAGACTTTCTTAGAATGATAGCGAAGGACATTATCAGGAAGTCTTTTAAGGATATCTAACAGTAAGTCATCTGGAAGCAAGTCAAACCCCCCGACCTTTCCCTTTGTTTTCGTCTCTTCATATTCAGACTCTTTCCTGGACTCTGTCAAAGCCGACTCCATCAAGTACTCCTATTTCAAAATAGTACATTATTACGTTTTCTTCTAAACATGAGAGAAGAATGTTGTGTTAATCGGTTCACTAACCACATATTCACGTGATATGCATGCATGACTAGAATTAGTAGCAATTTTTAATTGGATAATTCATGTGTAGTTGGATAATTTATATAGGCACGTTGGGAATTGTTCTAACCCTTTAATGGGTCTTTAGCTTAGGGGAGTAGTTTATTATTATTTTTGCCTATTCCCAGGTATGAATACACTAAGTTTTTTCCGCAACTTTCTTACTTTTCTTTAATATTTTCTTCATACCTACAAGTTGTTTTACTTTCTGTTCAGCAAGTTTATTTTTCATTTCATATTCGTGAGATTGAGGCTCTCTAAAACTAACAAAGAATACAACTATGATTTGATCAATACAACTACGATTTTGATCAAGAAAAGTAACAGTAAACACAACTAGATACAAGACCCAAAACTTTCGATTTGATTAACTAGACACAAGACCCAACATTTTCGATTTGATTAACCAGACACAAGACCCAAAATTTTCGATTGAATCAAGAAACAAACGCGTATGAAATCAGCCGCAAGTAAAAATGTGATTAAGAATTCTTAAAAATGCCAAGAACTAAGAAATACACCCATCAAGAATATTGAGACAAGAGATGACAGAAATACTAGAACGTAAGAACAATATCATGAATTCTATCAAGAACAATAGAAATACACGCAAAGAGATGACAGAAATACTAGAACGTAAGAACAATATCATGAATTCTATCAAGAACAATAGAAATCACACGCACATTACCTGTAGGCAGCACTTCAATTCCAAATAGAGTTGATTTCTGGGAGATATCAGTAGAAAATGAGATTTTTTCTACGATTCAATCGAGCGCGAAGCAAACAGAGGGTTCTTTCGATTTGATTTTTGACTGTTCGCAATGTGGCACCATGGGAGAGAACAGGGGTTGATTGGATAATACGGAGTATCTTTTAAATTGTTGTAAGAACTGGGGTTTTAAACTAAAAAGAGGGGAAGACGCTCGAACCCTTCGTCAAAGTGACGTCATATTTCCATATATATCATTAATCATTAATTGTACTTTTATTTTTATATTTTTTAATTTAATTGATCACAGAATTAATTAATATATATATATATATATATATATATATATATATATATATATATATATATATATATATTAAACTTGCAATAAATTTCAACAGTTGAAATTTATCCAAGTTTAGTCCCTGCATTGTTCTTACGCCTTATGTGCCCGGTGTATTTGATTTGCAGGGGGGTGTTATGTAAATTTTTCCCAACATTGTCAACGTGAAGGTTGTTTTCTCTTGATTTTATCGAACGGACGTGTCAACCGCCAGTATTTCTCCAGTTTCTTCTCCATCCTTCCCACTGCTCCATCGTTATCTCTCCTCTGTCTACGTCAAATGAGAGACCAATTTTTTCTCTCAGCGAATCTTCCATTTTCTTCGCATTTCCCCTGTTCTCTTCTGCACCATCGACATTAATCGAAGCCGCCATCACCACCGCTCCACCAGATCGCCATCTCTACCCCTCTAATTTTCTCCGCCGCCTAAAAGCGACCGCTTCCATCGCCACCAATCCCTCTACTTGAAGGGGTTTATATTTCAGATCAGAGAGGAAATCGTTGTTGAGAAAGATGCTTCTCCACTGATCGCCATGGAGATTCCCTCTTCAGCTTCTGTTGATTCCTTCTCTTCAACAACACATGCTCGCCATCGGCTTCCAGGTCCCTTCAGGCCTCTCTCATCTGCTGCTTCCAGGTATCAAGTAGCCTGATTAACTGATTCAAATACCGTCAGGGAACACTGACATCTTGCTTCCTTTTTTTTTATTGGTTTTTATTTCTCTATGTTTAAAGAACTTTGACACCGTGACCGACAACAACTGAAGTCTCTACCGGTGGAGATTTGGGAATCATCAAGTTTGCAGTCAAAGTGATGCAACTTCCTCTCCTCTTTCAGTAGAAAAATCAACAACTATAACAAAAATACCCTTTTGGCCATTGCGTATGTGTGTTTTGGTTAAACATTTTTGATTGATCGTTGACTCAGTTGCACTGGAACTTTGGAATCAAATATTTTCGTGTCCACCAACTCTTCAATTGCACCGGTATCTCCTATTCCATACCAATTTTTCACTGGCTTAGATTAACTCTTTTCTCATTTTTCAAATGGGTGAAACATGTTCTCTTTGTTCCTTTTTTAATAAAAAGGGATAAGAAAAAGATACACTTCTTAAAGTTTTTGGTTCGTGTTTGAAACTTACAACATACTACCTATATATATTTTTTTTAATTCCAACTCTCCAAACCGGAAGAAATATTCCTGCAACACAGGTAATAAAATATGGCTTTTTTTTCTTTGTTCTTCGTTTGTTTAACCAAAACCTGATGTATGATATTTTTTTAAGTCTGAAAACGGTCTTGAAATTAGGGCACTTATGATTACTTTTCAGATTTCATATCTGCAAAGGATTTGTTATTTTTATTTTCTTTTATAATTTTTTGGATGTGAAGTCCATTGTAGGTAATGAGTGTTTGCATCCTCTTGGGTCGGGGAATCTGGTGGCACCTAAAATACTGGTGATCTTCACGTTTTACACATTTCCATTAATAGCTTCTGGTAACGGCATCAATTTTTTATTAATTTTTTTTAGCAATTTTTAAAAATTAAAAAAACCCACCATTTATATGATTTTATATATAGAGCTAAACATTTAAAGTATCTATATTTATAGGTAGTTCGAGATGTGAATAAGAACTATAAAGAAAAAGCAGGTTGTTGCTCCTAAATATGCATGCTACTTTTTCATGGTAGGACAAAAAAAAATCCATATTAGTCTATAGTCCAACCTATTCATCTCAATTGTGAAGTGATATTTCTATCTTAATTTTGTGTTGGCAGGTTATGTATATGGGGAATTCTTTTTAATAGACAACGAGGGCAATTCTCTAATTTTTGTTTGCAAATATCTTAATTAGTTTTGGTATGGTTTGTTTATGTTACAAAAAGTTTCGTGTTAAAGGACCAAATAGCACTTCTTTTCAGGGGTAATGCAGAATTAAAATGTGTTGTAGCTGCCAGGTGCAAGTGATAGCCATGTATGTTCGATTTACAAATGAACTCTATCTCTCTTTTCGTATTCTTTTGTTCATAAAAATAAATTTTATAGAGCTATCTATTAATAAAGGCTTAACATAAAAAAAAATTGTTTTCAGTGCTACATTCAAGTTAGAAAAAAAGTTTTTGTTCACACTCATAAATCTTCATGGTTTATAATATACTATGATATGCAGTTTACTTTCTTCTGTTATTGAAGAATTACTTGAGAAATACGTTGAATTGTTGTTCTATTATTGTTAAACTTATATCGCTGAAAATTTTTATTTATTTATTTATTTTCCTTCTAAAACACTAAAAAAAATTTAACGGTTTGCGCATCACAGTGTGAACGGGGGTCTGCTACATGTCACCCGTTTAGGCAACTGAAGAGTTGTGTAAATCTCAGCTGGGTTCATAAGTTGCTTTTCGGTTCTTGGTATTTTCATTTCCATTTTTACCCTTTTATATAACTTTTGGAACGATAATTTTATTTATAATTTAATCTATGAAAGTTAATTTTTTTTTTTTTGTGGTTAAATTTTACAGGGAACTAAAAGCAAAATTAAAGGGTGTGCATGGTAAGAAGGAATTGGTTTGATGGTTTAAAGGTTTCATCCAAATTTAAGAGGTTGTTGAAGGTGATTTGATGGTTGGAAAATTATTTTTAATTTTTTTTTTCTCTTTTGTGTCTTTATGGAGGTAAGTGAAAAAGGATTATGATCACATGAAGAAAGTAAATTATTTTAAGGATAATTGTTGTTAGTATCAATGGATATGGATGATGACTATAACGATGAAATATTAACAAAATATTTGAATGACAGATAATTATTCGTAGAGGAACCTATGGTGAAAAGAAAGGTAGCCCAAAAGAAAAGTCTCAAGTTGTTAGACGTGAATTTGTAAAAGCCATGGTTGGATCGTGTTTTTGGTTTTTTACTTGCCCACCAATTTTGTCCATGCTGTAATGGACGAATCATGTAAGTGCGATCTCCATTTGACCAGTTTTGTTTTCTTATTATATGATGGAAAAAACTACAGAGATGAACATTAGGTGTTTGGCTACATAAAAAAAAAACTCACACTAAGCTTTTTACACTTTTGTTGTTAAGTTCCCAAAAGAAAAGTCTCAAGTTGTTGACGTGAATTTGTAAAAGCTATGGTTGGATTGTGTTTTTGGTTTTTTACTTTTTCCTTTTTTCCTGAGTTTTAGTTGTTCTAATATCAATATTGATGTATATGTCTTTAATACTACCATGATTTACCGTTGCATTTCTTATTTTGGGCTTTGTGGTATGCTAAGAAAGTTGATGGTGGTATTGAACTATTGATGTTATTTTGCTACCCACTAACGACAGGTTTGTTTCATCCGATTCATGTCAAATTACATAGATTAGCAATGTACTTTACTATGGATACCATTTAGGCAGTGTACTTCAGATAATAGTAATGTATGAAACACATGAACATCCACACAAAACAAACACTTTCCGCCCCACGCAACGCACGGGATACCTTTCTAGTTTATATTAATACATATACATATTAAAAAGCATCAAACTTTACGGAACAATAAAGTTTATATACAACAGTTTTCAAAATTTATAGTTTTCGTCCTTCATTACTTGTATTCTATGAATTTAACCCTTTTTTCTAATTTTAAATTTTTGACTTTTTCTGTGTGCATGTGTGCTGTTGTGTGCCTAAATTCAGCGGTATTCTTCAAATGTTGTGAAAATACCGGGTATAATCAATTTTTGGAGGGCAGTTTCAAATTTTAGACATGAAAAGTGACTTTTTTACGCATAGACATGCATAGGGGTGTCAATTAATGACACGACACGATAAAAATACATGAAACGAAATAAAATCAGGACGAAATCAAAATTCAAATTCGTGTTTGTGTCGTTTTCGTGTCAATATTAAAAAAAACACAATGCCGTGTCGTGTTCATGTTCATAAATTGACACGATTAAGCATGTGGTTGTCATGTTTTTCGTGTTTGTGGTTTTTGTCGTGTTATATATCTTTAAGTGTGAACGGAATACACTAATAGTTATATAATATTATATTTGTCGTGTCGTGTTGTGTTGTTGAGTTTTAATTGGTTCGTTTTCGTGTTAATGAAAAAAAACACGACATCGTGTCGTGTTGTGTTCGTGTTATACAAAACCTTTTCATGTCGTGTCGTGTCAGACAAAACACGACACGACTGCCCGATTTGACAGCCCTAGACATGCATTCCACAGAGGGACCTCTGCGGAGCTCTGCGGAACGAAGATTCCTCCACGGAGAGGGGTACTTTCGTAATTTGATCATCTCTTTGACAAAAACGGTCCCCCCCCCCCTTCTTTCATCCCCCACTGGTCCCCTAACTTCCTCTTGATTTTGAACGTATCTCTGCTACGACTTCATATCCGATTTATTTCCAGCGACGACTTGAAATCCGGCGGCGACGACGCTTAAATCCTTAGGTTTCACCTGTTTTGGATCTATTTTGATACCAAAATAAAATTAAACAAAAAAACATGAATTAATGTGAAGAACTTACAATGTTACATAGTGAATGGTGATCATCCATAAATTCTTTTTAGATCCTAGTGGAGGCAATTGGCGGCAGCTACATGTAGTATGGAAGACATGGTGGCACAATTGTTGTGGCCGGCGGCTGTTGGGTAGAGAACAAATAGGGTGGAGGTGATATAGGGGAGTTTAAATCTAGAAATGGTGAAAAGGGGAGGAGGGAAAAGTGTACAATAAACCAAATTTATTCCGGAAAAATGAAAAGAAATCAATCGGTATTCAAGAATCAAACCAAAACCAAAAGGAAGACAAAGAAAATCAAAGATTTAATTTGGATTTTGTAGATAGTAATTATAAGAAGCGTAAATTGAAATCTAAAATAGGACAAAAAAAACCTACCAATTGATGAAGATTGAAACAGGGTCAGGTCCTTTACCTAAATCGACGATGCAAGAGAGGGGCTAGCAACAAAACAGAAGAAATTGAACATGAAATCAAACAAAATCCAATGAGAGAGAGAGAGAGAGAGAGAGAGAGAGAGAGAGAGAGAGAGAGAGAGAGAGAGCACCTGGTGGCGGTGTCAATGAATCTTAGGCATCTTTTTGCTGCTTCATTCCTAAGTTTTATCTCAAAAAACTTTTGAATCATTAAGTAATCTAATACAATAGTTGTTCCTGCAAAGGATGATAAATAAAAACCCATATCGAAAAAATAACTCAAACCACCTCCCCCATGCCGAAGTAAGCCTTGGCGGAGAGTAAAATCAATCGCAACTGCGTTCTTGGCGGAGAGGGAAAGCAGCGGCGGCACGTGAGTGTTGGTGGAGGTCACTGGTTAGGGAAGAGAGTGGTGGTGGTGGTTTTGTTAACACAT